GTGACAGGTGAGCCCAGCCCTGCCCAGGCCCCCCACGCCCCACGCCAGGGCCCTAGCCCCGCGGGCATCCTGCCCAGGCCCCCCACGCCCCACGCCAGGGCCCCAGCCCTGCGGGCGCCCCGCCCAGGCACCCCACGCCAGGGCCCTAGCCCCGCGGGCATCCTGCCCAGGCCCCCCACGCCCCACGCCAGGGCCCTAGCACCTGTGCAAACGCCATGTCCCTGCAGGAGTGAGGCGGCTGCCCTCAGCAGGAGCCGCACATCAGGGCTGGAAAGGCGGGTCAGTCTCTGCAGATCTGGTCCAGAAAGATGCAGGACCTCCTTCACTGACCTCAGTTTGGCTGAAATCACAGAACCAGTCACAGGATGCAGTCAGATGTGCCGTCCACGGCGACAGTGACGCAGGGACAGCGGGTGACCACCAGCTCTGGGGGCCCAGCGGGCAGCGGCCAGCCCACCTGCTCCCTGAAGCTGTACGGACCCCTAGATGACAGGTCAGGGAGGAAGGGGCCTGTCCCCAGGGCAGGGAGCAGCGGCCTCAGACACATCTCCTGAGACAGGCCTGCGTGTGCATCGCCAGGGAGGGGCCACGGGAAGGGACCCAGCCCGCGGACGGCCAGGGGGGTGAAGAGGGAGAGTCAGCTCGCTGGCGGCACCACGGGGGGGTTTCGGGGTGAGGGGCCCAAGAGCTGGTGTTTGGGAGGAAAGGAAGTAATTTTGAGCTTAGATCAGTGTATTATTTTTAAACTAGTGGGGGAAAAAAAGGCTAACAATACATCAAGTCAATCCAAAAAAAGGCAAAAATGAGCATGCACACACAAATAACACAACATAAGGGAGCGTGAAAGCCAGCTTTCCCAGGAGCAGCCTTAAATACACACGCGGAAGGCTTCAGTTAGAGGTGCGCGCTGGGGTCAAAGGGACACTCAAGGCCTCAGGGGGGAGGAGCCCAGCCCCGCACACTCTGGGCTTCCGCTCACCAATGCTGAGCACCTGACCTCACAGCATTCTCACGACCACCTGGGGACGGGGAGATGGAGCGGGTGTGGGGACCAGGGTGGGGGGATGGGGGGATGGAGGGGGCGCAGGGACAGGATGTGGGGGGATGGAGGGGGTGCGGGGACCAGGCGTGCAATAGAGGAGCTGGTACAGCCTGGGGATGGATGTGCCCAGACGCCAGCAGACTCCTCGAGCATTTAGACAAGATCACTGGGCCTGACAGACACCTGCGAAGTGTGGGACTAATTGGAAGGCAGAGGAAACGCGCCCATGAACAGGGAGATGAGCACTAACTTTGGGGAAAACCAGAGATCGTTAAGAAAAGAAACAGTCGCGCGCCCAGGTTCTGTCACAGCTGTGATGTCCCGGTGACAACTCTGATGTCTGACGTGGCCCAAACTGTGTTCCGACTGGGGCGGGGAGGGGGACCAAGGAGGGGCATGGGTGGGCGAGGAAGCCAGCTCCCGCCCCCGAAACGGAGGCCTGTGAGGAGGCGTAAATCAGAGAAGCACAGTGTTAGAAACCCAGATGTAAATACAGACACACGGCTGAAAGACTCGCAAGGAGTAAGGAGTCCCGTCTCACTGCAGACACTGTATGTATGGCTTCATGAAAAGTCAGTTACACACACACCCGGCACAGGCCAGCATCAGGGCGTCTCCGGGCCAGGAGGCAGAGGGTTCCCAAGGCTCAGACAGGCCACCCTGTAAACTGTTCTCCATAAAGTGCGCAGAAGTGCATGGTCACCCCACAATCACATCACATAAACATCAGCAAACACACCTTTCTTAACTGCAGCGATGATTCTGGGATGCAGGTCGAGCCGATCCAAATCCATTTCTTCAGCGGGGACAACCAGAGACGGACGACTGCCCTGGGACACGGGTTCCGACGTGCCAGCCGCCCCCTCGAGCGGCCCGGGAGATGAGTGCAGCGGAGTGACCGAGCCTAGGGGCACCAGGCGACTGTGGGGCCCGGGGCTCGGGATGCCCCCGTCCCCGGGACAGTGCTGAGATCCCCCCAGGCTGATCACCAATAACTCAGAGGCCTGGGCTCAGCCCACCCTGGCATGCGTTTCAGGAACCCCCGAGCACCCCCCGAAGGTCACCCTGCTTCATCCGCTTCAGGAAGGTGAGAAGCAGCCTGGTGTCCCTGCCCTGGCCCTCCGCGACCCACCTCTCTGGGGCGCAGGTTCCGGGGTCGCCCGAGTGGGGCCCACGCTGCACTCTCTGGCGTACGCTCCTGAGTGCGTCTCCGTGGGGATCTGGAAAGAGTGGGAGGGCGAGTGGTGGATCCCGCGGGAGCCCGGGAAGTCGGAACCGCTGTGACCGCCGAGCCGCTCCACCAAAGGGCAGCGGACACCTTGCCCACCTGGCCTGCAGCTCGCCCTGGCCACCGGCCCGGGGCAGCGTGGCGGGCGGGGTGGCCATGCCAGGCCGTGGCCACTCGGCTGAGGCCGGGCCCGGCGGCCAGCAGCAGGAAAGCCCGTGGCCCAGGGCTCCCGACGCTGACGGGGCGGCAGTGTGGATTTGGCCTTCTGCATGGACGCTGCCTACCCTGTGTCAGGCTGTCCCCGATGCTTCGAGAGATAGGCCACCCGCCCCCTCATCCAGTCTGGTCAAGAGGGAGGGCCTGGCTACGCAGCACCCATCGGTCATCTTGGGGTGGCTCTGGGCCCTCAGAGGCAGCTCCGGGAGCAGGAGGTAGGGATTCTGAATGACCGTGGGAGGGAAGCCTGTGCGGGGACTCGGCTGGGAGCTGCCTGGATGCAAAACTCGGTCCTGAGAGCAGCTGGACACACAGAGGAGACCAACCGCAGGGCCTCGGGCCCAAGTAGAGTGGGTGCTGACAGAGCACCTGCTGGTACCTGACACTGGCCCGGGAGCCCCACCAAGAGCCCCAGGAGGGGCCCGGGTGAAGCCGCCAGGAGCAAGTGTGTGCTCCGCAGCACGCAGCATGGGCGGGCCTGGGCCGCTCCCGGGAGCGTCGCGTGCAGGGGTCTCAGGGGATAATTAACAGCAGGTGCTGCTGCTGAGCCAGCATGAAGGCATGTGAGCTCCTGGGCCAAACATGAGACTCCTCTCCAGGTGGAATCACTCTCGTGTGTCTCTGGGGCTCTAAGGGGGCCCAAGGACTTCTGTGCCCCCAAAACAGGCTGGGATGGGCCCAACCCCACTCTGGAGACAATACTCGGCTTCCTGGCGGCTTTACTTGATTCACACTGAGGACTCAAAGGGAGAAGGAGGGAAGATCTTTCTGAACTGATGCACTCAGCGCCTCTCCCACTCGACCGGGTACCAGACAGGAGGCGGCAGGGAGGAGCCCTGGGGGAGGCAGCCGGCCAAATCCCCACAAACTGAAACTGTTATTCTTTCTCTGAATTCAGGCAAAGGGTCAACACACACAGCTCCAGGCTGTTGCTCTAAAATCATCAAAGGTCGAGGGCTGACATTTACCAAAGTCTCTTCCAAGTGTGTGACAAGCATGAATGTCACCCCAGAAGTATTACAACCCCTGTATAAGCACAGATTGCTTAAGCAACAAGCTTCAGGTCACACAGCAAGTGGGTGGCCTGGGATGCAGGTCCAGCCCTGGGCTCTAAGCCCCTGACCCCACGTTTAAATCGCCCATCTGTTAACAGCTCCAAAGGGAACTGTTTGGACCACAGAACTCGGTCATCCAGAGGCTGGCCCGCCTGAGGGTGTCCAGCTCCCTCTCATAGACGTTTCCTTTCTTTTCCCGCTCCCCTCCCAGGAAGGGCGCCAATAAGCACGCCTTCATCCCAGGGCTGCGGGATGGAGGCTTCACCGGACCCCTGGGCGGCCACACAGGTCCTCCCCCGCCTAGACCAGCACTGTGGTTTCTCCAGGGCCGGCCAGCCTGGACTTCTGGCCCCGCTCCCTTCGCAGGACCCTCTTGCTCTTCTGAGGACCTTTCCTCTTTTCAGGGCCTGCGGCTTTAAGCACTCACTCCCCAGTGCCCCGGGCCTGCGTGTCCAGCAGGCCCCCGCCTGGGCCGTCCTGACGGACCAGGGGACGCTGCAGCCGCACCCTGCCACCCACGCACACCTGCGCTTCCCACCTGGCTAGCTCTGAGCCCGACCCCACCCTCCGCGCCCCACCCCGCGGCGCCGGCGCGGCCGCACAGCCCGAGCAGGCTCTACAGCTGCGCGGGCTCACCGCCCCGGGACCGAGGCCCTCCTTTCCAGCCCTGCCCAGCATCTGCCCGGCCCCCTCCCACCCGCGGGACCTGCGGGGGCCCTCGCTCTGCAGTCCCTCCTGCCCGTCCGCGGCTCCGCACCGCCGATCCGGGTACTGGGGAAGCGCCAGCCGGCCCCCGCCGCGACCCCCAGCAGCAGGGCCGCGCGGGCGCCCGGCCGGGCCCTGACCGCGCCCCAGGGGCCTCGGTGCCCAAAGCCTCCTCGGCTTCCGGCCGCCCGGGACCGCAGTGGCGGTGGCCACCCCGCGTCCTCACCTCGCGCGCTCTCCGCACGCTCTTTCGCGCCGCCCCACCCCTTACTGCCTCTTCCTCCAATGAGCGCAGGGCGCCCCTCGCCGGATGCGCCAATCAGAAGAGAAGAGGGGCCCACGTCGCCGATTGATTGGCCAATCCTAAGTCTCAGTCGCCCCGAGGGGGCGGGGCGTGCTCGGGCGGGTCCTCGCTGACCATTGGTGACTGGCCGCAGGGGGGCGGGGGAGGCGCCCTTACCTCGATTGGAGCACGCGGCGGCGGGGCGGATCCCGGGCGCCGATTGGTCCGCGTTCTGGACCTGGCGTGACGACTGGACGCGGGCTCTGTCAGCCACGCTGGCGGGGCGGGGCGGGGACCTCTCTCCGTGATTCCGCCCGGGCCCTGCCCCCTGCGCCGTCGTCTGTGGACCGGCCGCCTCCCGCGGTCGAGCTGTTGAGCTGGAACTTTTCTGACAGTTGCTTCCCCCTCCCCGCGCGGGGACCGGGAGTTGGGGGGGCGGGCAGCGTTTCTTTGCGATCGGCGCTCGGGCAGGGCCCTCGAGGTGCGCTGCGGTGCTGGGGGCTCCTGGGTGCGAGCGGGCGTCGCCAGGCGGGGCGTCTGCAGGGCGGCCTGCCTGGGGAGTCGCACCTGCTCCCGGCGGGGCGGGGCGGCCCCTCTGTGCCCTTGTGTTCTGCGCTCAGGAGTTTGGACCGGATCCCTAAGCCAGTGGCTGTCAGCTGTGCGAAGGCTGGTGGAGAAGCCTGGTGCGTTCCTGTCAATCTCGAGCGTCTAAGAGACGGGAAAAGACCACGCTTTGGGAACAAGCTTTAAGTTACAGCCACTCGTGTTCTAGCTGACCGCTTTTCCTCTCTGCCCCGGGAATCGCGGTGGCGGGTTTTCCGCAGGGAAGGGTGGGGAGGTACGGGAGGAATGCGATCGGGTGTTTTCCAGGCACCGGAGCGCTCAGAAGCTGGGGAGGGGCGGTTGGCCCGCGGGCAGGACGAGGGGAGGGTTCATTCCCTCCGCCCCCTGGTCACCTAGCCCCCCCGCGGTGCTCCAAGGCGGCAGGACGTTGGGAGTGGGCCGCGGGGGTCCCTGGGCCGGCCTCTCCCCTCCTCTTGGCCGTGTCGCCCTGCGTTTGTCCTCCGGGTGCTTGTAGTCTCCGAACTCAGGGATTGTACTTTTCCTCACACGATCTCCTTGGTTAGTGTTGTTGAAGGGTGGTTAAAGAAAGAAAAAAGGTAACATCACAGCTCTCATTCTCTAAGCCAGCGCGTGTCCAGGAGCTCGTTTAACTGAATCAGTGAGGGAGCCTGGCAGGTGTCATCAGGGCTCAGAGGGAAGTCCCAGCAGCACCGCCTGGCCTGGGAGGCGGCAGGGGAAGGGGCCGAGGTCCAGGCGGATTGATCGGCTCCACCGTGGGGGGCGGAGTCAGGCCGGGCCAGTGCCGCTGCCCGCAGCCTCTCCACCCCCTCAGCCCAGGCCAGCATGTCAGCCGTTTCTGGTGTTGTCCCCGAGGGCCATTTTAGACATTTCTTCCCCCGACATCCCCGTGCAATGCTCACAGCAGGAGCCGCGTGAGTGGAAGCCGCCCGGACGCCCTGCGGTTCGCTCTGGGGCCCCTCTGTCCGTCTTCGGGGCCCTTGTCCTTTCCTGAAATGACCGCCTCGCTGTTTCCCTGCCTCGGGTGTCCTCTCTGACCAGTGGGGCGTCCGGCCCGGCCTGGGGTCTGCGGGCTCCGGGGGAAAGGCAGGCGTCAGGCGGAGGTGCTGTCCCCCTTGGCGCTCCCTCCTCAGTGGAAGTTTCTCGTGCCCTCCAGAAACACACCCCAGTTTGCCATCTCAGCAGCCAAAGAAGGCGGAGGGAGCTTTGAGGAGGGGAGGAGGCCTCCCAGTGGCCGTGACCCGAGTTTGAGGAAGTGCATGTTGACATGTACTGGGCAGGGGCCGCGTCTGCAGTGACCGAGGGGAGTGTTCTGGAGGAGAGCGGCCTGGGGTGGGGCAGCTCGGGCTGGGAGTCAGGTGGAGTCTGCCTTCGATCTGGGGCAGCTCGGGGGAGGGGGGGTTCCCCTGCTGCCCGCCCGGTTCTGCGGCGCTCAGCCCGCCCCGTGCTTCCAGGGCCGCGATCCCGGGGTGTGTGTGGTTTGGAACAGGCAGGGGGAGGGTGTAGGGAGAGCAGGGGCAGGCGGGGAACATGCCTTCACCCGCGCCCACTCGGCTGTGCGGGTACGAGTGTCGATCGTGTCTGGAGCCGTCCGCACCCATCATTCCTCGGGGGTCTGTCGACTGTTGACTCGGCGCTTGGCCCTGTGCCACCTCGGTGCCTCGGGCCCATGGGGACGTCCCTCACAGATGCTGGGAAACGGAGGTGTGCGTTATCTGTGACTCTTGGCTTCTCAGAAGGGTTCCTGCTGCTAGAAATAACAGATTTGCTTTTCTGTGTGCCTCCAAGAGCTTGTGAGGTTGGGGGGAGCAGTGGTGGGACACGGGGGGCCTGGCGGAGACCTGGGCCCAGCTTGGGCCTCATGTGACTGCATCCGCATGTCCCCCGGCGAGGAGCACACGCTCCAGGGTGCAGCCGTCGGAGACTGCAGTGACCCGTGCACATGCACCCGTTCCTGCCGTCCCGGGTGTGACAGCGGGGACGGCGGCTCTGCGCTGTTGTCTCGATGTCAGTTCAGTTCAGTTGCTCAGTCGTGTCACTCTTTGCAACCCCATGGACTGCAGCACGCCAGGCCTCCCTGTCCATCACCAACTCCCAGAGCTTGCTCAAATTCATGTCCATCAAGTCGGTGATGCCGTCCAACCACCTCATCCTCTGTCATCCCCTTCTCCTCCTGCCCTCAATCTTTCTCACCATCAGGGTCTTTTCCAATGTCTCAGTTCTTCACATCAGGTGGCCAAAGTATTGGAGTGTCAGCTTCAGCATCAGTCCTTCCAGTGAACACCCAGGCCTGATCTCCTTCAGGATGGACTGGTTGGATCTCCTTGCAGTCCAAGGGACTCTCAAGAGTCTTCTCCAACACCACAGTTCAAAACTCATAGGTACTCTCAAGAACTCAGAGATCTTCTCTAGACACACTATAATAAAACTGTCAAAAATCAAAGACAAAGGGAACATCTAATGGACTGGTTGGATCTCCTTGCAGTCCAAGGGACTCTCAAGAGTCTTCTCCAACACCACAGTTCAAAAGCATCAATTCTTTGGTGCTCAGCCTTGTTTATGGTCCATTTCTCACATCCATACATGACTACTGGAAAAACCATAACTTTGACTAAACGAACCTTTGTCGGCAAAGTAATGTCTTTGCTTTTTAATATGCTGTCTAGGTTTGTCATAGCATTTCTTTCAAGGAACAAGCATCTTTTAATTTCATGGCTGCAGTCACCATCTGCAGTGATTTTGGAGCCAAAAATAAAGTCTGTCATGTTTCCATTGTTTCCCTATCTATTTGCCAGGAAGTGATGGGACCAGAAGATGCCGTGATCTTCGTTTTTTGAATGTTGAGTTTTAAGCCAACTTTTTCACTCTCCTCTTTTATTTTCATCAAGAGGCTCTTTAGTTCTTCTTCACTTTCTGCCATAAGGGTGGTGTCATCTGCATATCTGAGGCTATTGATATTTCTCCTGGCAACCTGGATTCCAGCTTCTGCTTCACCCAACCTGGCATTTCGCATGATGTACTCTGCATGTAAGTTAAATAAGCAGGGTGACAATATACAGCCTTGACATACTTCTTTTCCTATTTGGAACCAGTTCATTGTTCTGTGTCCAGTTCTAACTGTTGCTTCTTGACCTGCATACAGATTTCTCAGGAGATAGGTCAGGTTGTCTGGTATTCCCATCTCTTGAAGAATTTTCCACAGTTTGTTGTGATCCACACAGTCAGACTTTGGCATAGTCAATAAAGCAGAGCAGATGTTTTTCTGGAACTCTCTTGCTTTTTCTGTGATCCAGCGGATGTTGGCAATTTGATCCCTGGTTCCTCTGCCTTCTCTAAATCCAGCTTGAACATCTGGAAGTTCACGGTTCATGTACTGTTGAAGCCTGGCTTGGAGAATTTGGGGCAATTCTTTGCTAACGTGTGAGATGAGTGCAGTTGTGCAGTAGTTTGAACAGATAGTAGTCTTGACGTCAAATGCTCTGCAGAGGCAAACGGGGGACACAGGTGTGTCAAACAAGAAGCAAAGGTGGACTTGGGTGGAGACAGATTATGTTTCAGAGGGTCATGGTGGGGTGGTTCCGACCAAGGGATCCACAGGCTGTCCAGGGGCAGGCGGCAGGGGGCTTCTCCATGGGGGGCGAGGCCCAGGCTGCGGGGAGCAGGGTGGGAGGGGCAGGTGGGAGGCGGATGGTGTGATCTGATAGCGGGTCGGATGCATCACCCTGGACCGTCTCAGGCGAAGAGGTGGGTCAGAGTTCAAGGGCCTGAAGGAAGGAGAGATTAATGAACGCTGCATTAAGTGAGGGTCGTGCACTCGTCGCTTCAGTCCATGAGGGGACAGGCAGGTCTGTGGGTCCCGCCTGCGGCCCCCGTCTGGCTTCTGGAAGGTGGCTGGGGTGTCTGTGCGTCTCCTCCAGGGCATGTGAGGAGGGGGCTCTTTGCATGATGCCTACGGGGTCCCTGTCTTGGGCCTCCGGGATCCCAGGCGGGTCCCTCGTGGTGGGGCCCAGGGGCCCCGCAGGCCCGCCCGCTGGCTCAGGAGCTGCCCACAGCCCCCGTGGCCGGTGGGGCGCCTCCTGCGGGAGGTGGTGTCCACGCCCCGGGGGCTCTGCAGGAGAGGCAGGCCCGTCCTGGGAGGCGCCCCCGCCCCGTGTTGTCAGATTCAGCTGGTCCCTGGGCTGCTGGGGGTCTGCTCCTCAGATTTGCCCATGAGCTTGTTTTTTTAACATTTCATTGCTTCCCTGAGTTAATTGAGTTAAATCTTTGACATGGATTCATTTTATATTTGTAGGAGTTACACTTTTACTCTTTAAAAATGGTTGCTTTTCAACAGATGCGTTAACGCATGTAGCTGGGAAACGTATCTTTATGACTGACTTCTTTTCAAGGAGCCTGAGAAACACTCCCGTGGGAGCCTGGAGTCTCGGAGGACAGCGCCGGGGCGTCGGGCCCCTGTTGCTCCAGCCTCAGAGGGCGGGCGGGCAGGCTGATGTCCCAGAGCTCCATTCTTTCTAAAGGCGCTTCTCTTTAAACATTGCTTTAACCTCTCCAGTCTGTGTTCTGACTGTTGTGCTTTGAAGGAGCCGCCTGAGCACCCCCAGGGCTCCCGGGCAGCTGGTCGGCAGAGACCACCGTCTCTGAGCAGGCCTCCAGGGCTCCTGCGCTGGGCTGCCAAGGGTGGCCCCCAGTCCCCGGAGGCCTCTGTTCCGGCCCGGCTTCCTGTGGCCCTTTCGGGTTTCTTCCTTCATCGCTGCTGCTCGCCTCCCCCCTCGTTGTCGGCAGTCTCCTGCCGCTGTCAGCTGCTGGCTTCCTGGAGCAGCGAGGGGACGGGTCGGGGCTGCCAGGCTCGGACCCCCGGCTCCCCTGCCCTCTCGTGGGGACCTGTGGAGACCCCCCCTAGCACCGCTCCCTCCCCTGTCTGTGGGTGAGAGTCCTGGGGGGCAGCGCAGGGGCCCCGCAGGTGGCTGGCAGCTCGTTGTTGGCCTGGTCAGGGTGGGCGGGCAGCCCGGGGAGGACCCGGCAGTGGTCCGTGTGCGGGTCCAGCTTCTCCCCTGTGAGGCCCCAGCCCCCGCCCACCCTGGGGGCGCCGTGGGGACCGGCCTGGGTGCTTGTGGCTTCAGGGGCGGGCGTTGCCGGGGCCTTAGGCCTCACGGGGAACTGCTGGCTCCTGGTTTCTGGACTGTTTCCCCAACAGCGGTCCCCCGCCCCGGGCCTCTCCTCTGGGTTCAGTCAGCGGCTCGGGGCACAGCGCTGGGCCCCCGGCCTGGGCTGGCGTTGTAGCTGGTCTCAGACCAGGTGTGAATTCTTGACTCTCAAGTCTTCACCCGCTGCTCTCGTTTCTTTGTTTAATTCTATTTTCATGTCAAATCGTTCTCTTGATCATTTTAAAAGCTTCTTTTCTCTTATATAGTCCCTAGGAAAATTACCTTGTTTAAAAATCTGCTGTGAATAACCTCGTTGGTTTATTTAGATTAATGCAAAATGTCTAGCTCACTGATATTTTTCAGGGAGTGTGGTGTGGTCTGAGTTTAGAGCTTGGTCTCGGTTGCTTAGATGTGAGCCTCCTGGCAGGGGGGACAGGGTCCATCTCCACGACCACACCCTCACCCAGGGGACTCCGGTGGGTAGACGTGTGAGGTCACGGGAGAGTGTGGCACACAGAGGCCCCGCCCCACGTGGAGGTCTGAGTGCCACACATGGAACGTTCCAGAAGTGACAGAGGCAGTGGCAGGGCTGGTAGGGACAGCTGGGATTGGCCAGCTCCGGCCTGAGGCGGGCAGACCCTGCAGGTGATTCTGGAGGGCCAAGCCCAGGGTCCCGGCGGGAAAGCTGCTGAACAAAGAGAAACAAGAAAGCATCAGTCACGGGTCACATAAAGCTTAGACGGCTGCTCAGTGCGGGGCCCTGGCCGCCAGGTGCGGGTGGGGCTGGGGGCCGGCCTGCGGCAGGGGGCATCTGCAGACTGGCCTTGCCGACCGCCCTCCCCTGGAGAAGGGCGCTGGCCCCGGCTTTAGACCGACTTGGAAGGTGGGCCTGGCCCCGCCCTGAGTTGGGCCTGGGGGAAGGGGAGGGGGTCAAGGTCAAGCCCTGTGTTGGGAGCAGGAGCAGCCCCTGCCCGGGCTCTGGCTGCCCTGAGTGAAGCCAGGCAGAGGGCGGCCCTGCTGACCAGGACCCTCCGGGGGCGGGCAGGTCAGGTGAGAGTCACGGTCAGGGCGCCTGGCCCCCTGCCTGGTGGCGGCATTTCACCGGCCCCGTCGGAGTGCGCGGCTTTCTCACCACGTGGGGACAGCGCGTCCCCGCTGTCTGGTGACAGGTCGGGGCGCTCCTGTGGTGGTGGCCGGGTGACGACGTGGCCGTCTCCAGGCTGGTCCCTGGCGGTCCCGGGAGCACTGTCCCCAGCCTTTCCTCCCGAACCCCGGGCGCCCGGGCCTGGCACCACCGCCGGCTGGCCGCTGCCCCAGATGCGGCGTCTCCGGGCCGCGCGGCCTGACCCCCTGTCACCTTGCCTCCTAGTGCCCGAGGTGCATGCAGTGTGACACCAAGTTTGACTTTCTCACCAGGAAGGTGAGCTGGGCGGGGCAGGAGGGCGGCCCAGGTGGGGTCCGGGGGCGGGGCCCCTCGAGCCCGCGCTGTGCGGGGCGCTCACGCCCGTGCCGCCTCGCCAGCACCACTGCCGCCGCTGCGGGAAGTGCTTCTGCGACAAGTGCTGCGGCCAGAAGGTGGCGCTGCGGCGCATGTGCTTCGTGGACCCCGTGCGGCAGTGCGCCGGGTGCGCGCCGGTGTCGCGGCGCGAGGCCGACTTCTACGACCGGCAGCTCAAGCTGCTGCTGAGCGGTGAGCGCCGGGCGGGCGGGTGGGGGTCGGGGGGTCGGTGGGTGGGACTCTGTCGGGTGCGGCCCCAGCCGCCGGGCGGGCGGAGCCCCCAGGACCTGGCAGCCCTCTCCCCCACCCCCTGCTACCTCCTGGCAGCATCGGGCCGGGCTGCCCTGGGGGTCCCTTGGGGGCGGGTCGGCGCCCTGCGATTCGGGGGAGCCTCAGGCGGCGCCTCTGGCCTCCGGCATTGCACCCCGACCCCGTCACGCCCTTCCCGCCGCCACCTCGCCTCCTTCTGTCCTCCACACGCCTCTCGCCTGGAGGGGGCGGCGCGGGGGCTGCCGCGTGCTCACGTCTGGGCTCCTCCGCAGGAGCCACCTTCCTCGTGACTTTCGGGAACTCCGAGAAGCCGGACACGATGGTCTGCCGTCTTTCCAGCAACCAGAGGTGAGGACGGGTGCTCTTCACCTGGCACTGGGCGCCCAGAGCCTCGGAGGGCCGTGGCACGGACGCCTCTGTCTGCCGCAGGTTCCTGCTTCTGGACGGGGACGGGGACGATCACCGCGAGATAGAGGTGGCGCGCATCGCCGCCGTGCAGATGCTCACGGAGGGCCTCCCTCCCGGAGGTAGGCGCCGCGGGCCGGGGGGCTCCGGGGCTCCGCTCGCGGGCGTGTGAGGCGGCGAGGAGGTTCCCTGGAAGTGGTCTCCGCGCTCTCCCGTCTCTCGCGGCTGGCATCACCCGGTTCCCCAGGGCCTGTGGTGGGGCCCCCAGCTCCACCGCCCCCCAAGGTCTGCGGGGACGGCGCGGCCCTCTCCCCTGAACCCCGCTCCTGGGCCTCGGGTCCGAGCGCGGAGGCTGATCCGACCCCTCTCTCCGATTTCTGACCCGCCTTGCTGTCCTCTTCTGGCTGCCTGCCTGACGTAGACACTCTCCCTCACACCAGCCTCCCCGCCAGCCGGCCCATCGCTGAAGGTCAGCGTGTTTGCGGGGCGGGGGTGGGTGTGGCGGGGCTCCCTGTGAGACACTCGGGCCTGAGGCGGCCAAACCGTGAAGCCGTCTGTCCCCTGGGCTCGGCTGTTCTCTCCTGAGGGGGAGCTCTGCTCTGCGGCCAGTGTCCGCCGGCCCCGGCCGGGGGAGGAATGGGAAGCGGGTGGCGGCCTGCGAGCGCGTGCTGCGGCCGCTTGGTGGGGGGCCGCTCCTTCCCGATGGGCGGGGCCGGGGCTGCTGGCGCAGCGCCCCCTTCTGGCGGCTCCTGGAGCGCAGGGAGCCCCCTCTGCCCGGCTTCCTGGAACCAGTCAGTGCCCAGAACCGTGTTTCGGAGCTGGGGTGCGGGGGGCGGTGGAGGGCAGGGAGGGTCCCCGCGCGTGCGCTGTCCACAGCAGGGTCGCCCACTTTCTGTCGAGGGTCGGGCTGGACGTCGACTCAGCCCTGCCGGCCACAGGCTCTCAAAATGCAATTCAGGCACAGGAGTCAGGGAGGTGTGGTCATGGGCCTGTAAAAGTCCAGTAAAAGCCCCCTTCCAGGAGCAGGTGGTGGGCAGAGCGCAGCGGGCTGCCCCAGAGTAGGGTTGGGGGGTGGCGCCCCTTCAGAGAGTCCAGGGGATGAGCCGGCTGACACAGCTGGGACTGCTGCTTGTGAACGTCCTGGGAGCTTGGCACTTCTGGCTGGGTTCTGAGCTGCGGGGACCCCCCCAAAGACAGCCTTCCAGGAGTTCGTGTCCTGGGGTGGCCTGTGGTTCCTCCGCTTTGACCCTGGCACCCGCAGTGGGGTGGGTGTGAGGCCAGCACGCGAGTGTAGCCTGGGGCCGGGCCTGCTTCTGCCACCGTGCCTCTCGCAGGGTCTCAGCCATGGGCCGCCAAGTGTTTGACCCGGGCCCTGGCCAGCCCTGTGAGCTCAGGGTTGGCCACCAGGCAGCCGCTGCCCTGACACAGGCCCCACCGAGAGGCCAGCTGTGAGGCCAGCACCAGGGTCAGGGAGGGGGTGCCTGGGCCACTGCTTTGGGGCGGCCGGCACCCTGGTGCTCGAGGCCGCTTGGACCATCCTTACCTTGTTCCCACTCCAGGAGGCAACGCGAGGGCCACAGGCATGACCCTGCAGTACACGGCTCCGGGGGCGGAGGGGCTGGTGCAGCTGACGCTGATGGCCAGCGAGGACGCCGACGGCAGCAGGAGGCAGGCGACGGCATGGCTGGCAGCCATGCACAAGGTACCTCTCCTGCTCTGCACTCTCCCACTCCTGCCCAGCCGAGGCGCCTCCACCCACCTCAGCCAGGCACACGCCTTTCTTTCTGGTCCCCTTGCAGGCGGCCAAGCTCCTCCACGAGTCTCGGGACCAGTAACTCCACACGGGCTGGATGGTCCGCTCGGGGCAGCAGCACCTGCTCTCGGGCACACAGGCACGACTAACCCTGCAAGTGCTGGAGACGCAGCCAAGCCCGCAGAGCCTGCCTGGTGCACTATGTACGCCGTCGGTTAACGCCGAGACCATTCGCGCTTTAGAACCTATCACTTGTTGATACCTAACTGCGGGGAGAGGCTGAGCTGCACCACTGCTAATACTCTGTTGTTACGAGTGCCCACGTTTACTAGAAGGTTCTGGTCCCCTGATCTTCACTGGTTCTTCCACAGACGTGACCCGGGCAGTGGTCACCTGGCCTGATTTGTACTGGTGCGCTTCCACACTGCCCGCTCAGCGTGTCACTAACCCAGGGCCACGAGCAAACCTTTGATACTTCACTGGGGAAGGAGCATGCTTTATATTTTGTACTTTTCACTTACTATTTCACTTTAACTATACAACAATTTGTATATAAAGCTTACAATTAAAACTTATTTTGAAAGTAAGGATCAGGCCTTGCCTCTGTGTGTCCAGACAACCCAAGCTTCCCGCTCAGCTCTGGCTCCAGAACACAAGACTCGAAGCCGCCCGTGAGAGACCGCGGTTTATTGCGTGCATGTGCATGTACACGGCCTCAGCACAGGCTGCCCGCGCGTGCTCGCTTCTCGTGAGCACACTGTACAATCAGCGCTCCAAGGCTACACATGTCCACACGCAAATCACACACGAGACTCGCACATGGGAACAAAGCTCAGGGCCTGGACTTTAATGAGAAGAAAACATTTCCAACACGGGTCTGACAGTTTTCAGTGGTTTAGTCAAAAAATACTTCTGGTATATAAAAGCCGGTACGTATAGTTCAAGTCTCAGGGCAGTGCCTCACTAAGTCTGGAACCAGGGCAGAGGGACCGGGGAGTCTGGGCGTCCCCCATCCACGCGCCCCGGCCCGCACAGCGCCCTGGAGGGGCGGGGCAGCGGGAGGCTGCGGGAAGGCGCGCTGTGTGGAAACCTCTGGCCCAGCGGAGTCCCGTGGTCCTAGGTTCCTTGTGCCTGTGGGTGACCTAGACTGAGGCCTGGAGCGGGAAAGGAGCCCACACCTCAGACACCCCCGCTCCACACAGGGCTCCTGTGGTGATGAAAAGAAATGCACGTGAGGATGGACAAGGTGCCGGGTTTCTGATGTCTGGTGGACGGGAGGGCGGAACTCCAGCACGGGGCACACCTCACGGCAGCGGCAGGCTCTCTGGGGGGCTGGGGCAATACCGGGGGTGGAGGGCCTTGGGGCCCACGTTCTAAGGGCGTCGTCTTCACTGGCAACCAATCGGGGGTCAACGACAGGGCTTCTTATTGGCAACAAGGGTGGTGGTTTAGAAAGCTGGGTATTTATTTGGATTTACAGTAATTGGCAAAATCCAGTCTCCTTGGAAGTGAAGGCCTCTCTCTCAGCTGAGGGCAGACCCTCACCCAGGGGTCCTCATGCCATGGACACGGTCTGCTGCGGGAGGCCCTGAAACTGCGTCCAGTGTCCACTTCTGGGAGAGCCCGAGCCGCTCCCCGCCGCTGGTGCTATGCGGTGCTGCAGGGGGCGCTCAGGCCAGCGTCCGCTGTCGGGGTTTGATCCGTGGATACAACTGGGAGGCAATGGACAGGACTTAGGATGAGGGGACAACCGCTGGGCAAGAGCCCTGTGCAGAGGCCAGGCTGACACTCAGAGGCCACCCTCCCATGGAGACGCCTCCCGAACACCTAGAGGCCCCGTGCCTTTTTCTCTCAGGGCACTCGGGACCACTTAAGATACCGGTACTGTCTGTAAGGCCCCCAAAGGTGCCTGGCAGGTGTCCAGTGACTGCGGGATAAGAGCGGCTGCCAGCCCACTGGACGTGGAGCACCCAGGAGCAGAACACGCCGTGAGCAGCCCTCATCAAGGGGCTATGGCCTCCCCACAGGCTCCCCCCGAGAGCAGATGTCCGCCGACCCCCTGGCCTCCCCTCCACCAGGGTCTGAGTCAGGCCCCGCCCCCCACGCACCCCCAGGCAGTAGGAGGGCCCCGGCGCAGCCTTACCCCCAGCAGGTTCCTGGGCACGTAGCCCTCCCGGTCCCCAAGGCGAGCCCACCACCAGTCGGTCTCGACCTCGTCCTTGCGCCGCAGAATGGTGAGCGCGTCCCCTTCTCGGAAGGACAGCTCATCGCTGTTCTGGGCCTCATAGGCCCACAGGGCGTACACCACACCTTTGTTCATCACACCCAGCTTCTCCTGCACGCCTGGGACAGGAGAGCCGACAGTCAGGTCTGCAGGACAGGCTGCTGAGTGCCTGCGCCAGGCCCGGAGACGCCGCTGGCCTCGGAGCGCTTAGAGGCTGGGCTGGCTGCTGCCCCCCGAGTGACGCCACCAGTCCCTTCCGTGTCCCAGCAAGAGGCCGCGGCAGAAGTGTCATGTCCAGAAGCAAAGGTGGGTTCATGCTAAGTTCCTCCAGTCATGTCTGACTCTGCAACCCTAAGTAACACAGCCCACCAGGCTCCCCTGTCTATGGGATTCTCCAGGCAAGAACACTGGAGTGGGTCGCCGTGCCCTTCTCCAGGGAGGAGAAAAGGTGTTATTTCTTAGGGTGAAACTTACAACCCACAAACCCATGACTGAAGTCCCGTGTGCCGCTCTTGGCAGTGGGAAGCACGGTCCACCAGAGTGACAGGCCGCCGCCTCCCCCGCACAGCCTCTGTCCTGGGGCTGGGCCTGGAGCAATGCCCTTTCGGGTGTCTTTGCCCCCAGGGTCCCAGGCAGGCTGGGCCCCCGAGTGCTCCAGTGTGGCGTGGACAGCCTGTGCTTATTTAGCCCACAGAATTGACGCTCCAGCCCTGCCAAAAACGGCTCAAAGCAGAGGAGTGTGGCCCTCACCTACAGGCCCCATGGACCCCATGGGGTGGGGACAGGAGACCATCCAGGACACCGCCCTCAAGACCTCGCTCTGGGCCACTGTGTGCCCAGGGCATCCTGGCCTCCCTGTCCCCCTCCTCTGCCCAGAGAACACCTGGCAGAAAGGGGAAGACTTTCTTCTGAGCAACTCGGCATGGAATCCTGACCATGAGAATGTAACAGGTCTTCAGGGATAAGCCCAGGGGCCGGGGTGACCTCCGTTCCCAGGACACAGACTGGGCTTCCCCAAGGATGCACTTGGGGGTTCTCTTGGCCCAGGCAGCAGCATGGCCCGTGCCCAGCGCAGCCCAGGAACAGCACCCAAGGGCCCGTGCCCACTCCCCTACCGTATAGAAACTGGGAGCACTGGATGTAGCCCTCCTCCATCTCCTCGCACTTGTCCGCGGCCGTCTCGATGTCGCTGATGGTGGAGGCGAAGATGGCGGCGCCGCTCTCCACCAGCTGTTTGCAGAGGTGGACGCTGTTGCAGGAGGCGGCGCAGTGCAGAGGCGTCCTGGGGGGACACAGGGAGGCCTCACGTCCCGCCGGCGGCCCGCAGCGCGCGCTCACCGTCCAGCCAGCTGCTCTGCTGCTGCCTCTGCAGGGCCGGACTCCACTCCCACTTTTAGAGCGGACACACAGACCGTACACACACACACACTGCCCCCCACACCACACCCACTTCTGAAAAGGGCCTCAGAAGGCTGGGTGGTGAGCGCATCGAGAAGCAACCTGTAACCTGGGTGTTCGTGGTGTGACATGAACGTGTCCTCGCTCCGGGGACACCGCCCTCAGAGCAGCTGTGATGGTAACGGCTGTACGTTACCACGATATAAAGAAACAGATGTTGGCTGGCGGCAGCGCAGACCGTGGCCTGAGGCTCACAGTCAACGGCGCAGGTTCCTCACCATAGGCTTTCTGGCCACTTGAAAACAAATGGATCAGCAGAGGCTTAGCTTGCGTTCTGTGGTCAGCCGTGTGACAGGCGTGATCACAGCGGAACCTCTAGCAAAACCAGTGCGAGAACGGAGGCCGGGAGGACGGGCCGTCTGTCCGTCCCCTCTCCTCCTCTGTCCCCATGCACCCTGGGGCCTCACCAGCCGTCACTGTCGGCAGCGTTCACGTTAACCCCGAAGTCCAGCAGGAACCGCACGATATGGTGGTGCCCGGCGCAGACGGCGTTGTGCAGGGGGGTGATGCCCTCGTCATTGGGCTTGCTGGGGTCCTCCACCTACGACACGGGACATGGCACGTGAGCCCCGCCGGGCGCCGTCAGGGCTGCTGACCCACACAGGCACACGCTCACCTCGTAGATAACCCTCTGCACCAGGTCGAACTCCCCCTCCAGAGACGCGTCCAGAAGCAGTGCCAGTGGGTTGAAGCGGACCCGCAAGCCGTGCCCCGTCCGCTCGGAGTTGGGCTTCTTCAGGTTGGTCCGCTTGTTCTATGGGGAGGAAGTGTGCTTTGGATTTCAAAGTGACCCCACGCAAGCAGGCTGGGAGCGGAGGGGAGGAGGCAGGAGGGCGGGTCCCAGAGCCCGAGGCGGAGCTCCACCCGCAGAGCCTCCACCTGCAGCCCCCCGTGATCGAGAAGGGGGCACTGCAGACCAGCCTGAGCCTGGCTCCCAGGGGCATCCCTGTAGGCGCCCGAGGAAGGGGGCGAGGGGAACCCCTGAGCTGAACTGCTCCTGCCCTGCGAAGGGGCACAGGCGAGGGGCCCCCACCTCCCTCTGCTACTTCAGCACCGCTCTCCCCCAGCGCTCTGTTTAGAAGGGTCTCCTCCCCTTGCTGCCTGCCCAGATCCCAGTGGTGGCCCCCTTATTCAGGAACCCTTGGACCCCCAGGGCGAGGCTGGCCCCACTGCCCGGCACCACCCGACCCAGGTGTGTCCCCGACAAGCTCTGGCTGGCTGGCCAGCAAGCCGGTGCCCTGGTCTAGGTCTACACCCACCGTTGAGGCCGAAGGCAGCGGCACGGCGAGTGATGGGGGCACTTGCTCCTCCCCTGGAGAGGGGGCCTCGGCCCCAGGGCTGGGGACCTGCTCAGTGGACGGGGCCGTGGCCACGTTGTTGTTGTCGTCCTCGGCCGGCTCAGCCGTCTGGTGGGTGTTCGGGGGACAGAGCAGGCCCTCGGGTTCGGGGGAAGGGAGCCGGTTGTCATTGGCATCGGAGGCGGGGGCAGGCTCGGCAGGGAGTGGGGCCGTGGGCGGGGCGGGGCCAGCCTCGCCCAGGTTCCCGTTGGCAGTGGCGTTCCCATTGTCCACGTCGGCCAAGGAGCCCAGGAAGTCCTGCGAGGGGCTGGGCTGGTAGAAGGGGGCACCCTCCATGCCGCCAGCCAGCGTGTTGAAGCGCTGGTACAGCAGCTTCTGGATGTTGGGCCCGCCGGGGCCCTCGGGCTCCGTGATGGAGCTGCGCTTCTTCAGGGGCCGCGGCGCGTTGGCCAGCTTCCTGCGCAGGGCCTCCAGGTCGGCGTCGCTCTGGTAGCGCAGCGGCGAGTGCACGATGGGTGTCAGCTTGGTGGGGCTGAGTGGCCGCGGCAGGCTCTCCACGGCGGCCCCGTCCCCAGGTGGCGCGGGGCTCTCGGGCTCTGGCTCCTTC